CACACAAGAATTCCATCGCCAAAAGCTCACCACCCAAAGCTCAGCGGCCGGTCTGAGGAAGTTCTGCGGCTCCGAGCCGCGCCCCAGACTTACGTCATCAATCGGCGCACCTTCAGTCTTCCCAAGCTACCAATGACGGAATCCTCATCCTGTGTACGGTGGCCAGCAGGGGCCTAAATTGCTGAGGTCCACGCTGCTGGCCTGAACCGGCGTAGACAGTGTCCATTTCGCTTTTGTTTTCAGTGGTCATGGCCTAGTGACAGGTGTGCTTTTTTTTTCCCTTGCATTTAGCATTAACTCTTTAGTGTCTGAAACATTACATGTACCCTACATGATACGGATTTAGAAAGGTACAGTTTAGTTTAGCTAGTGCCCCTGGCTCACCCTGTAATCTTGTCTACTCAGGAGGCAGAGTTGTTGTTGTTGTTTTAATTTTATTGTAAAGATGCTGTACATAGGGGCTACAGTCACGTAAGGCATCGAGTTCGAGCATTGTCACCCCCCTCTTCCCTCCCCCACATCCCTCACTCCTCCCCAGGAGGTCAGGGATTTGAGTATCACAGTTGGAGGCCAGGCCAGGCAGGAAAGTCTTAGAATCAAACCTCCAATGAATTACAGAAAAAGCCAGAAGTGATGCTGTGGCTCAAGTGGTGGTAGAGTGCTAGGCTTCTGTAAAAAGATCTTAAGGGGGCTGGGAAGCTGGCTCAGTGGTAGAGCACTTGCCTTGCATGCATGAGGCCCTGGGTTCGATTCCTCAGCATCACATAGGCAAAAAGAAAAATGCCAGAAGTGGCACTGTGGCTCAAGTGGTAGAGCACTAGCCTTGAGCTGAAGAGCTGAGGGACAGCACCCAGGCCCAGAGTTCAGGCCCCATGATGGGACCCCCCCCCCAAAAAAAAAAGATCTCAAGGACAGCATCTAGGCTCACAGTTCAAACCCTAGGACTGGCAAACATACACACACACACAGCATTACAAATGTCAAGCACCCAACTAGTGTTTGTGTTTTGAAATGTACTAATGCAGTTGAAATTAATATACTTGTAAAACTGTATAAATTTTTATACTTGTTTTTATTATTTTTGTGCTGATCTTTGTGTTTTAACTCATGGCCTGAGATTTTTTTTTTGCTGAAGGCTGGCACTCTACTACTTGAGCCATTGCTCCATTTCCTGTTTTTAAGTGGTAAACTGAGATGAGATTTTCAGGGACTTTTCTGTTCTGGATAGCATTCTCAGATCTCTACCTTTTGAGCAGCTAGGATTACAGGCATGAGCCACCAGCACCTGACCATATTTTACTCTTTTTTTTTTGGTGCTGGTCCTGTGGTTGAAAATTATCATTTGATATCTGGATGGATCCTTATTCCTAGACCATGGTGATATAGAAGATGTGTTTGAACAAATCAACCAAGTCATCTTCTCTCTCTCTCCACACACACACACACACACACACACACACACACTTTACATATATGTTTGTATTATTTCATTATTATTTATCCATATAATCTATGTATCTATGTATGTATACAACTATAAATTTATCTATCTGGCGATAATAAGAATTTATCTATCTATCTATCATCTATCTATCTATCTAAAGAGACAATAAGAAACTAGGCATGTTGGAATTGGGGATTAGGAGAGATGAATGGATAAAGAGATTGTGAAGTAAGAGAAAAGAAAAGGGAACAATGAAAGGAGAAAAGAACTTTGAAGTTGACTTTTCCCCAACACTAGACCACCACCTACTTTCTACCATTTACCAAGAAATCCACCATTTTATAAAGCTTTCATTGATCAAGGGTTAAGGACCATAGATGAAGTTAGAGCCATCCTGAGCCAATCATTTCCCCAAGCCACAATTCTGAAAATCCTTGTTGGAATATAAGCTTTCAAAATAGGAGCCTTTTAAAGAGACAACTAATACTGATAGCACTGCTCTTGTATAATGCAGCTTAGCTCAATTCATTTTTAGTTCTAATAGTGTTTTGTTGGATTTGTTAGTATTTTCTACCATTTTCTATACACACTTGCCAATGGAGACAATGATTTGTATTCCATTTTTCATGCCTTTTGTGTTTTCTGGTTTATTATGCTTTACTGCAGTACACTGTTGCATAGAAATGACAAGACTAGATTGTTGCTTCTTACCTTGATGAGAATTTTTAATTTCTCATGATAATGTTTATTGCCAGATATATTCCCTTTATTTATATACAGTTCCATTCTGGGCTTAATATTTTCTGGTTTATTCTACAAACATTGACTTGTCCATATATGAAATGCTTTCCTGTGTTTTTGAGATGATCACGTGGTTTTGCCCTTGAGAGTATGTTCACTGCTTATGTTTTAGGAAACATGTATTCCTATGATGAATTTATTGTTCATAGTATTATGACATTCCTGTATTTGGTTTGATGGGACTTTTATGGACTTCTCTTCTGTTATTCAAAGTGCATTACAGACTAAGTTTCCTTCTATATGATATCTTTACTTAATTGTATATCAGGGTAGACAAAAGTAGTGTTAACTTTTCTGTTGCCTTTTAAAACTTTATAAAGAATGTATGAAGTATTAGTTCTTCAAACATACTGTGATTTTCACAACCATCTTTGATTGGAACTTTCATTGTGATAAGTATTTTTATTAATGTACATCAGTTACAGAGGTGGAATTTTATGACATTCACACACAAGTTTACAAAGTATTCTAATCAATAACATGCTTTTTTTTCTCAAGTCTAGATACACATTTTTAACAATCTACCTACCTCTGGGACTCAGCTCCACTTCAGGCTTTTTCTGCTTAATAAAAGATAAGAATGTCACAGAGCTTCCTGGTGGTAGCTCATACCTGTAATCCTAGCTATTCAGGAGGCTAAGATATGAGGATCATGGTTCAAAGTCAGCCCAGGTAGGAAAGTCCATGAGACTCATTTCCAATTAATAACCCAAAAGCTAGAAGTGGAGTTGTGGCTCAAATGGTTGAGTGCTTGACTTGAGAAAAACAGTTCATAGAAAGTATCCACACTTTGAGTTCAAACCACAAGACTATAACACATAAAAGAAATGACCATACAATTTATCTCATTGATTCATGCAAGAAATGCTTCATTCCAAGTTCACATAATGTTGTTAGGATTCAATTCTCTGCTCATATATTCTCATTGGTGATTTTTCAATAAAAATATACATTTACAAATGTAAGACAGAGAAATAAAACACTTCTCATTTATATTAGTGTGATAATGTTTCATATCAATGTGTCACAAACTGGGTTATTGATAAATAATAGAAATTTATTTCTCACAAGTTGGAAGTTAGAAGCTGGGAAGCCAAAGGTCAAAGTGAAGGAACAATCAGAGCAGTGAAGACTCTTGTTCCCAAAATGATGCCATCTTTGTGCAACTTGACATATAAGACAAAGTCAACCCTGTGCTTTTACCTCGAAGACTGGAAGAAAAAAGAGACAACTACCTGTCCTCAGGCTGATTTTAGTAAGACAAGTGATCTCATTCTTAAAGGTAAAACAGCCAAGCCCTAGACACTTGGCAAGTCTCATATCTTACTTAATATTATGACAGTGTCAGCAGGTATTTGAAACAATAATTTAAGGCATCATAAAAATCAAATCTATGAGAACAATTTTTTAACAGGTCAATGCAAAAGTCCTCAAGAAGACATACACCTGGAAAGCTTATCTCAACACTTTGGGGCATTCCAAAGTTTGGCCCTTACATATGTGTTATCTAGTCCTAAGTCAATTGTATTTACACACATCCACATACCACACAAGCATGGCGAATATTCCAGTCATAACATGAGGAGGCAAACTACAGTTCTTATTCAATCCAAGAGGTGGAGAATTTATCCTAATGTCATCTGTTACAAAAACCAATTAAATTTATCCTTTCAAAAATGTAAATGTAAATCATACACACAAACATATCAGATGATATAACATGCTTAAAATCATGAATAAGCCAGGTTCCAGTAATCCTAGCTACTCAGCAGGCTGAGATCTGAGGATTGTGGTATCTGAGCCTGGGTAGGAAAGTCTGTGAGACACTTATTTCCAATTAATCACAGAAATAGGCAGAAATAGAGCTGTAGCTCAAGTGATAGAATGCTAACTTTGAGCAAAAGGAGCTGAAGGTCAGCACACAAGACCCAGTACTGGCAAAAAAAATCCTGAATAATCTGTAAAATATTTTTAATGCTAGCAAGGTTATAATCCTATGAAGGGACTTTATTACAGAGCAGTCAAGTTGACTTATGGCCCAGAAAAAGTCCAGCCCACACCAACTCTCCCTTACTTAATAGACAGCACTCTTTTGTCCAGGATGACAGATTCTAGAAAACATTTGGTGGTGATTATCAATGATAATAAGTTGACTTGCAAGCCGTTCTCACAAACACAGTTGTTGAACATCTACTTGTCTCAGCTTGGTCATTTCTATTTTCAATCATTGTGGAGACCCAGTCAATCTTCATAAAACACCATGGTTATGAACATCTTAGACATATTACTATGCTATTAAAACCTTTACCTCTTCTTATTTAAGTTTCCCTTTAAGTATGTGTGCAATGCAGACTTGATCTCACTGTTAACAAGGAGATCCATCTATCATATTACATTTACTTTGCAAACATGGTAAAGAGAAGTTGTCTTAATTCCTAGATGAGGAGCTTGAGACTCAAGAATGAATGCCTTTCTAGGATATTTGGTCTGTAGCACAACAGAGCTTATGTCCCTAATATCAGGAGTCCTCCAGTTCAGCACACGGCAGCATCCACACATAACTAGATTCATTTCCACTCTGTAGGCATTCACCTGTTACCTGTAAATGCAACTTCTTCCCTCTTACTGCTCCAGTTCACTCTGTTTTCTTCCACTCAGGACTCATACCTGAGCCTGAAACTTCAGATTGAAGGTAGAAATGAACACTGTATATAGTACTCCAGAATTGCACAACTTAAAATGAAAAGCAGTGAGATTATATTAAAAACCAACAGTTTATATTGAAAAGAAAATATAAAGGTGGTATTTCCTCAAGGGGAGGGGAATGATGGCTGTAGTCCTAGAGCTTCTGTTAGGTAAACTTCAGGACGTAATCATAATGAATGGGTCCACAAGTTGCTCTACCTCTACATCAAAAAGACATTCTTCCTGACTTGGATTGGGGATGGTTTCAGCTCCCAGATGGTGCTAGTGACTCTTCCAGAAGTAAAGGCTGTGCCTGATATGGACTCGAAACAGTTTGAGCAGACTAGCCTAAGCTAACTTCTCCTCTACCAGGTGAGGTAGGTTGAATTGAGATGGTGGGCAGATCCATGTGGATATCTGCAGGCAATGAAAGAAGTGCTACCTCGATATCTGAAGGTTAGTGGATGTCCAGTGCAGTGGCCACAACAGGCTAGAGGTCCACAGGACATACAAGAAGTTCTGATTGTTCTACTGCTGACACAAAGTGCTCTACCTTCACATATGGCCCAGTGTGCTGTGGAGGCCCCAGGCCTCTAGCTAGAGCAGGCAGTGTTGATTCTAGTACCAGAGGTGCTGATGTCACTGGTGGGTCCATTGCCTTGAGCTCAGGAGCAGCTGCAGTGTGCAGCCCCAAATCTAAGAATGGAAACAGATATACAACTAAGGGAGTGAGTACTGGAAAGTGAAGTGGGATTCAACTTGCATGAGGAGCTAAGGTCTTTAGAATGAGTGCTTGTATCTAATAGATGCCATACACATAGTTAACTGCCTGTTGTAGAATTCCCATTGCTGTCTAAAAATCAGGACATCTTCAGTGCCTGGCCAATCATCAGGTCATAGATCTCATCTCAGAGGAGCACAGTTTCCCTCCTGGCCCAAGAATTCCTCACACTTTGTCCCTGCTTCATTGGCCTCTGATTCCATCAGCTGGGTTTGAAGATGTTGTACATGGCTTGCCAGGTCTGAGCAGGGCATGTGGAGCAGCACATAGGCCATCAGCTGATTGAGGTTGGCCAGGTTCTTGGACTGGCAGAAATCCTCAGGGTACTTGTCCAGCCACATGGCAAAGAAAGAACAAATGGTGCTGTCGGAGATGGGGTAGGGAACAGAATTAGAGCTGGCTAGAATATAATTCTCAGAGAAAGATGGGCATGGTTGTCTCCCCACAGGAGCTGGCTTTCTACCTACAGCTCTTCTGTTACCCAGGAAACCAGACCCCACCCACAGCTGTTTCCTCTACCTTCTCTGAAGCCCCAGGCCCCACCCTCATGGAAATCATGCTAGTATGCAAAGCAGACATTGTCAGCCACACCTCAATCCCAAGACCTCAATATCTCCATCTTGAAGGAGAGCCCTTCCCTTTGTCCCAAAGTCCACTCACTTCTTTACTTGTTCATCCTCTTCACAGTTTGGGTGGAAAAATCCATATCTATGGGAGTAAAGGAGGAAGTCATCTCTGATATCTGGACTACATTTTTTCCTTTCTTTCTTTTTTTTAAACTATGGGGACACCTATGAAGCTGACAAAAACCCATGTGGAGGGTAGAAAGATTTGACTTTACTGCTCCCTCAGTTTTATACTAAGACATTCGCAATGTGTTTGCCCAAGATAAATGCTTCATAGGTTTGTACAATGAGTGAGCACAATATAATCATTCCTGATGGTGTAGGAGACAGTGGGGCCTTAGTGCAACCTGCTAGCCCTTTCTCTAGCCACAGAACATCAGGGGCAACCCAGATTGGTTCTGAAATATTGTTTACTAATGGCAAATATGGTTGCATAGGGCTTTACCTAAATGAGTCCTGAAGCCAAGTACCACTGTCTCACACCTGTAATCCTAACTACTCAGATGGCTGAGATCTGAAAATCAAGCTTTGAAGCCAGTCCTTCCAGACAAATAAACTATTAAAACCAGAAGTGGAAGTGTGGCTCAAGTGTTAGATGCTCTCGAGCCTTGAAAAAGTAAGGTCTCAGACAGAGAGGCTATTCATGGAGAAGGGGAAGAGCCTACACCTGAGACACTCATAAGGGAGAAACCTGAGAAGGCACGTCTGAGACTCATCCTACATTTCACTGAGAATCTCCACTGAACCAAGCAGGCTCAGAGAGTTGTCAAGTCTTCCTTAGACTCAGCCAGGAGATCCAGTAATCCCCTGGACTTGGGGACTAACCTTTATTTATTTTGCATCAGTCCTGGGGCTTGAACTCAGGGCCTGAGCCCTGTTCCTCAGCTCATTTGCTCAAAGCTCTCACTCTACCAATTGAGCCACAATGCTACTTACAGCCTTTTTCTCAGTAGTTTATTGGAGATACATTCAGACTTTTCTGCTTCAAGCCATGATTGTCAGTCTCAGTCTCCTGAGTAGTTATGATTACAGGTGTGAACCAGCAGCACCTGGTAGAACTAACCTTTTAAACAGCAGGTCCAGCACTTGCCCTGTTGTTGTGAAGTTTCTGTAAGTGTACAGGAAAGCAGGGACATAGAAGGGATCTCCCTTCTGGTGGGCAGGTACCAGGTTCTTCACTACCTTTTCCAGCATGCCTGGCTCCAAGGTCCTTATCCTAGGGGTTTCATCCAGGGCTGGAGCTGACCCATCTTCATCCTGATGTGGGAACCATTGTTCAAACATGGAAATGGTAGCACACCTCAAACTGATCCATTGTGGTGGAGTGAATTGAAAACTACACAGAAAGCATTATCTCAATATTCCCACTTAATTGCACATACCAAGCAGGTTGTAGGGTGATCCAGGAAAGGGATCAGATAGGTTTTCTGTCCTGAGCTGCCTTTGATGTCCTTTTGCTCTGTTAGAAAATGGCCCAAGGCACCAGATTCAGGAGTGAACACTGAGCCAGCCTACCTAGGCTCCAATGAGGCACCCATACAGTGCTTTCCTGAGACCTGAGTCTCGTGACCTTGCAATACAGCAAAAGAACACCTTTTCTCTCCCACACTGCTAATCAAGGAGCTGGCTGGAGCTGACTGTGGGATGCTGTTGTCTGGCTATTAGATACCACATTCCCTTTGCCTTATTGTTGAGGAAGTAAGGTCTCTTCCCCAGTTCACCTTACCTGTGCCCCTTCCTCACACAAGACTTTTCCAAAGGACGCATTGGCTGCTGAAATCTCCACTCCCACACCACCAGGTGCATATCTAGACATACCTAACCTCACACCTTGTCCAATCTCACCATCCTCACTCAGGCCTTGGGGCAGCCATTGTCTTAGCATTAAGGAGACAGAGCCAGGTCCGTCTTACCATATCTGTAATTTTTGCACAGGAGACTTTTCTTTAGCAGTCAGAAATGATTATATAAATTACCACACACTTTTGAAGAAGTAATACTTAACATCTTTTTTTGTCAGTGGTAGGGCTTGAACTAAACCTGATAGCAGAACAGATGGTACATGTTGCACACAATATTTTTTTTGTTCTGGTCGTGGGGCCTGAACTCTGGGCCTGGGCACTGTCCCTCAGCTCTTCAGCTCAAGGCTAGCGCTCTATGACTTGAGCCACAGTGCCACTTCTGGCTTTATTCTTTTTTGGTTATGTGGTGCTGAGGAATCGAACCCAGGGTCTCATGCATGCAAGGCAAGCGCTCTAGCACTGAGCCACCTTCCCAGCCCATGTTGCACACAATATTAAAGGTTATAATTTCCAAGTAGTTGTCAGGATGAATAGCTTATGATAAAAACTTACAGCCCCTGGTTGGAGGGGTGAGGGGGTGCTAGGAATGTGGCATAGTAGAAGAGTGCTTGCTTCGCATGCATGAAGCTCTGGGTTTGATTCCTCAGTACCACATAAACAAAATCCAGAAATGGTGCCATAGCTCAAGTGGTAAAGTGCTATCCTTGAGCAAAAGAAGCTCAGAGGGGTTGGGAAGGTGGTTCAGTGGTAGAGTGCTTGCATTGCATGCATGAGGCTCTGGGTTCAATTCCTCAGCACCACATAAGCAGAAAAAGCCGGAAGTGAAACTATGGCTCAAGTGCTAGAGTGCTAGCCTTGAGCTGAAGAGCTGAGGGACAGTGCCAGGCCCAGAGTTAAGGCCCTACAACTAACCAAAAAAAAAAAACTAAAAAAAGAAGAAGCTCAGGGGCAGTACCCCAGCCTTAAGTTCAAGCCCCAGGACTGGCAAAAAAAGGCTCTTGGGACATGTGAACCTAAAGATATAGGTGCAGAGAAAATCAGTTGTGTCTAGAAGCAGAGGTTGTGAAAGCTACAAACTAGATACATCAAGCAAAAGAAAAGGCCTATCTGTATGAAGACATCTGTCAAGTGGTAGAACATCTATCTGCCTAGCATGTGCAAGGCACTGAGATCAAACCCCAATACTGCCAAAATACACACAAAAAAGAAATGACCTACTTGGCGTGGAAAAATATATTGTTACATACATCCAGGTAAATATATGTGTGGGTATTTATATACACACATATCTACTATACATGGTATGCAACATATATATATATATATATATATACACATCAGGATAGACTTTATCTTGGAATAAAAATGACAGAATTTACACAAAACAGCAATAATATTGGACATCTATAATTTAGTGAAAAGATAAAACAATATTGAAAATTAAGGACAACTGAGATTTTAGGTACAGAATTCCAACTGCTACATATGAAACCACATATTTTATATATGTATAAAGTTCTTCCTGGAGACTGCTTCTATCTGGTAATAAGATAGATTATTTCTCACCTGTGGAAAGTCAAGCTTCTTCAACATTGCTGGGTCTCAAGACTTCAGAAAGCTGAATGTGCATTTTCAGTTGAATAGAGGCATTATCAGGTATGATCCTATATTTAGAGGAACCTATGAGAATAGCTTTGGGTGAGCAGAATATTACGGATATCCTTAGATCTAAACATCTTCCAGAAATTTTAAAAAACCCCTCCCACCAGCCAAATCATGACAAGTTCTAGACCATTCATTAGATGTTCTGGTACAAAAGGACCATTTCAGGACATACTTCATTTTTTTCTGAATACTGGAGATGGATCCAAGTGTTTGCTCAAGCTAGACTATATCATTTACAATGATTTGCTAAGCCACACTGTGTTAATTCTTGACTACAATGTAGAAGACCACATATAAAAAACTGTCGAATAAACCTTCACCTGCAGGTAAATTTAGATAAGGCCACAAAGCATTAGAGGCCATGGAAGCTAAGAGGGCCAAGAATAAAAAACACATGAATTACTGTGAATTCAGTGGGTTGTGGTTGAGATCATCTTTCTCTCTCCCCTCTTCCTTACTCACTCCCTCCACCCCCCTCTTTCAACCTGGGGCTTACACTCAGGGGCCTGATCACTGTCCCTGAGTCTCTCTGTGCTCAAGACTAGCACTCTACCACTTGAGCCACAGCACCACTTCCGGCCTTCTGTTTACATGGTACTGAGAAATCAAATCCATGGCTTCATGCATACTAGGCATGCACTCTACCACTAAGCCACATTTCCAGCCTCTTTCTCTTGGTTTTTTGGTTGGTCCTAGGGCTTGAACTCTGGGCTTAGTCGCTGTCCCTGCACCCTTCAAGGCTAGCGCCTACCACTTCCAGTTTTCTAGTGGTTTATTGCAGATAAGGGTCTCACGGAGTTTCCTGCCCAGGCTGGCTTTGAACCACCATCCTCAGATCTCCTGAGTAGCTAGGATTCCAGGCGTGAACCACCGGCACCTGGCTAACAGTCCTTTTTTATAAATGCAAATAACCACTCTCCAAATATCCTGGAGACATTTATGTTCAGTCTTTTAAGAAGACAGAAAGAGAATGTTCATGAACATTCTAATGTTAGAAAAACTGCTTCTGCCAGAGTAATACAGTAAAGACAAATAAGTGAAAAAGAACTAAAGGAGAAAAATATCTCAAAATAAAAACAGCATTACATAGTGGAAATAATGTTTAAAAAAATGATAACCAAAGGAGTAATGTGAAATTTATTTTAGAAAAATTACCTGAGAAGGGCACTGATGGCCCATAACTGTAATCTTAGCTACTCAGGAGGCTAATTTCTGAGGATGGCAGCTCAAGGCTAGCATAGGCAGCAAAGCCCTGCGACTTAACCTCTAATTAACCACCAAAAAGCAAGGAGTGGAGCTGTGGCTCTATTGGTAGAGCTCCAGAATTAAGCAAAAAAGCTCAGACCATGAGTTCAACTCGAAGGACCAGCACAAAGATGTAAAATAAAAAAAAATAAAACAAAAAAACATACACTTTGACAAGAATATTAATCACAAGTGCATTATTTGAAAACATGAACATAAGTTGGTTGCTGGATGACTTACGTAACAACAGGATTAACGACACTAATTTCTGGCTGCTGCTTCTTTTTCTTCTTTTGGTGCTGGTCCTGCAGTTTGACTCAGGGCCTGGGCGCTGTCCCTGAGCTTTTGCGCTCAAGGCTACCACTCTACAGCGCTAGCCACAGTGTCATTCAGGCTTTTTGGTAATTAATGATATGAGTCTCACAGATTTTCCTTCCCGGGCTGGCTTTGAACCTCTGTTCTCAGATGTGCGCTGCGTGAGTAGGTAGGATTACAGACGTGTGCCACTGGTGCCCGGCTTCATGTAGTTTTGAATAAACATAGAAAATACACGTTAAAGCAATCCAGAAAGCCAGATACAAGGAAACAAGAAAAAATAAACTCAGCTGTACCTTTCTAGATCCGTATTGTATAGGGTACGTATAAATTTGTTTCAGACACTACAGCGTTAAAACGCACAGAACGTCACTCGGCCGCCATCATTGAAAACAAAAGCGAAAGTGGCGCAACGTCTACCGCAGCTTCTGCGAGCGGCGCGGACCTTAGCAGTTGAGTCCCCTGCAAGCTTCCGTAGACGGGATGTCCTTTTACTTTCGGGTCTCTAGGAGGCCAGATGCCGTCGCGCGGAATGATGACGCAATTCCGGGGCGCAGCTCAGCGCTGCCGAACTCCCTGGGCCCGGCCCCTGAGCTTCGAGGAAGCCGCGCGCAAAAGGGTGAAGGAATGCTTGTGTTGGGAGTAAAGAATTTCCCAAACGGCATATGCTGGGCAGGAAAATTACTTCAGAATTGCTGTTTTTTTCTAAAAGCTCTGTGGCGATAGGAATGTAAACGAGTTTGCTCAAAACAACGTTCACCTCTCGGACTTATTTATTTATTCTTGTCTGCCCTGGGGCTTGAACTCAGGACTGTAAGGTATAGTAAGTAGGTAGGTTTCATTAGGTAGCCGATGAAGAGAACACCCGGCTCTCTTCAGTCAGGAGAAGAAGTTTATTTACCGAACTGCTGTCCCCACCATGCATGGTGGAGAGACATGGCTGAAAAGGAAAGGGGCGACCCACCCTTGGGCCAGGACTTATCTAGGCCAGGAACAGGAAGAGATGTGGCCAGGTGAGGGAAAGGTGTGGCCACACTGGATCAGGACATGACTTCAGGGTCTGGGACCCTCCTCAGATGGGAGGCATGTGACCAGAGGTGGCCCTGGATGTGACCTAGCAGGAGGGGAAGGTGACTGCTTCCAGGCCTGCAAGTTACCTAGGTAATAGATACTGGGAAGAAACTTAGCCAAGAGTAGGGAGATGTCTCTGTGCAGAAGGACCTAGTGCTCCATTAGCTTTTTTGATCCAAGATGATGCTCTACAATTTGAGGAATACCTCCTTTCCAATCTGTTTTTTTTTTCTTTCTGATGAACTGTGGATAGGAGTCTCTCTTACTTTTTGACCAGAAGTGCTTTTAAACACATTGCTTATAGCACGTTTCTGAATTTCTTGGTATTTACTACATTGTTAACTGATACTAGTGGCTGTGAACTAACAAGTAGCCTTAACAACACATATGAAATTGATACTTTTTCTATGTACATTTTCTTGTAATATATTTTTCGCTCCATGGTTTCTAAACTCATTTTCATTTCATAAATACTTATTGACCCAGGCACTGGTGGAGCAAACTAGTAATTCTAGCTACACATAATTTTGAGATCTGAGGATTGGGATTCAAAGCCAGCCTAGGCAAGAAAGTTGGTGAGAGTCTTATCTTCAAGTAACCACAGAAAACCAGAAGTGGGGTCCGTCCACATTGGCTCATGCCTGTAATTATAGCTACTCATCAGGGTGAGATCTGAGGATTGTAGTTAGAAGCCAGCAAGGGCAGAAAAGTATGTGAGACTCATATCCAATAAACTGCTCAGAAAAAGAAAAGAACAGAAATGGTGCTGTTGTACAAGTGATAGAATGCTATCCTTGAGCAATAAGAAAATCAGGGACTATGCTCAGGCCCGCAATTCAAGCTCCCAGATTGAACAAAAAAGACAAGTGAAACTATGGCTCAAGTGCTAGAGTGCTAGCCTTCCACTTTCATCCAAGTTTTATCCAACTTCACTATGTCTTGCCCCCTGCCCTGTCAATATCTATTGAATTAGGCACAGGATGTATGTATTTCCAGGTAACAGCAATCCAGTGAGAGGGGGAGGGAAAAGTTCTGTGCAATCAAATGACATTTTCACCAAACAATGTCAGGTGGTTATTGGATTTTGTATCTGTGGGCTGGGGACTGGGGCCTCATGCCTGTAATTCTAGCTACTCAGAGGGTTGAGATCTGAGGATTGAGGTTTGAATCTAACTCAGGCAGAACAGTGCATGAATCTCTGCTCTGCATTTAACAAGGTAAAGGCTAAAAGTAAAAGTGTGGCTCAAGGGGCAGAACAACAACCTTGAGTGAAAAAACCAACAACAATACAAGGCCCTGAATTCAAGTCCTACTATTACATACACAGAAAAATGCACTGTGATAATGGATCCTAATTGATTTTTTTGTATTGAAGAAAAAACTATATTTTGGTTATATTCTGAATTGCATTATAAGGTCAGGAGCAATTGGGTTTGTGTGGCAATGTCTGCTTTCAGGAACTCTAGTCTTAAACGTAGCTATCCATGTACCTGTCTATCTTTCTATTAATCAGCTATCTATCTATCTAGGCCTTCTGATCAAGTTGTTAAGGCCTCATAGAGAAGAGGACTTCTCTTCACCAGTCTCCCTGGTCCCACTGCTGAAGCTCACATCCTACAAGTGTTCCTTCTCTTCTGTTACTGATAACAGGTGGAAAGCACACTGCAAAGACATTGCCAGTTTTCCTAGTCTGCCATTTGGCTGAGATTTTGTTCCTACTTGGACACATGCTCTTAAGTCACCAAAACAGATTTAGAGTTGAATAACAGACCTTTAGTTCAGAAAGAGAACAGCTGCATGGAATCATTTCAGCTAATTGACAGGCTGGAATGAGCCTTCCCAAAAAGGTCTCATGACTGCCTGTGACTTCTTCATCCCTACAGCCTCTGTGTCTAAGGGCCCTGGTTGACTGCAGAATAGCCAAATTGGAGGACCTTGGAAGAAATACAGTCTCCATTTCACTCATTTCTGTGAATGACCGTGAAGGTTTCATAGCCTGCTGAGTGGTTTTGATTCATACTCTTATAAATTGTAGATTGAGAACCAATGAACTAGATTTCAAATGAGCTAGATTTCAATGAGCCTCCAGGTTTCCTGTGTGGCCTAGAATCCCCCATCTCCTACACACAGGGCACAAGATGTCCCTTTGGCCTAGGAAGCTTGCTCTCTCTGTGACCCCATGGAGAAGGGAGCTCCTTCAGAAGGAGGGTACATTGGCACAGTAGGCAGGTTGGGGGCATCCAAGTTGTGGTGGCCGGTAATAGGAAGACTCAGTCCACCCAGGATCCCTTTAGGAGACAGGTGAGTCTGTCAGGATCTCTCCCCCGTGTTGGTTCCTGTTCAGGAAACTGAAGAGGCCAAGGATGGTATGGTATAATGGTCCTTGGTGTGCAAATGTGTGAGGCGAGGGTGGTGGTTACAGTGGAGGCCTAGGAAACTAGGGACACACTGGCTCCAGCCAGGCAGCCCTAAGCCCTCATACCCTCACCTTCTCTGTCTCTCTCATACACACACTCATATATCATGTACCCAGACATGCATGCAGATACCCAGGACCATCCTTGCTCAGGAGTGTGTCCAATGCAGGTTTTGCTGCCCACATAGCACAAGCTCTGAGAGTGAAGGACATGACAAAGAGGTTGGGGAGGACCACCTTGCTCATGCAGAGGACAGACATGGGCTCCCACGTGCCTGGGCTCTGTTCTCATGCTGCCACTTGATTTGTCCCCACATGCCAGGGTGTGCTGCTATAGAAACTCTGCAGGGAGCATGGAAGGAAGAGTTGCACCTTTCCAGAAGAACAGACCAGGAAGCCTGTGGACAGAAGTCCTGTGTCAGTGTGTAGCTGGGAAAGGTAAGAGTGAGGATCCCCAAGGCAAGGATGACTATTTTTATATGCAATTAAATATGATTACTTAAAACTATGATAGCATCATAACATTTTTTAGTCTCAAATGCATTGTTATACAAACATTACTATAAAACACATTATTGGAGAAAGCAGTGATGTAATATTGATTATAGTGAGAAAAATATATGTGTACATATATACATATATATTATATAATTGTGACTATCTACAAATTCAAAATTCACCACACTGTGTATAAAAAAGGGGTTAGATGGCTACAGGAGGCTCAAGCCTGTAATCCTTGTTATTCAGGAATCTGGGTTCTGAGTTTTACTGTTTCTTTTTTTT